ATATATATATATATGTATATTTCTCGATATTATGATATTTTTTATATAGATTTAACTACTTTAACTTTGGTTTTAATAACAATTTCGTAAAAATGTATTATAAAAATAAATTTTTAATATTACATAATATAAAATTCATGTTTTTTTAAATTTTATATATCTGAAAAAATTATTAATCTGTTTTAATAATTGTTTAATCTATTGACAGATATTTACTAATTTTAATAATGTTATATCTCATAATGAAAGTTTTAATTCTAAAATTATATAAATCTCGTTTTGCACAATCTCATTGACATCTATAAATAACAAATATGCGTGTTACGTAATATTAAAACACACCGATACTGATGTACGTATAATCGATATGATAAAACTTTTCCAGACGGTTCTTGTAATCGATGATTTCACATGTTGCGCATATTATCTTTACAATCCATATGACTCACACTTTTAAAATAGAGTAACTATATTTAACGCGGTAGATTCTTAGATTTCTGTTAAAAATAAATTATATTTTTCTGGTTTTATACTCTTATATTGATAGCTGTTATAGTAATAATTATAATTAATATGTAGTACGATGCAAATGTTATATGCATGACGTGTAATACAAACATTACACGTAAGCATATGTATTCATGCAATGTGTCATAGACCTGTTCAATCTTAAATTACTAAAAAAGAAAAATTATTTCATCTTTAAGTTATTAACAGCTTTCTAGACTATACTAAATAAAACTAATTTAGCCTAGATTGCACTTATAATTAAATTAAATTTTGGAAAAATAGTTTTCAGAAATAATAACTATATTTTATTTTCTTTAAGTAGTTTTAAATTATCTAGTCTGTAATAGAAATATAATTTAAATCTTAAAGTTCAATATGTGTAAATTTATTTTTATTAGTGATGAAATGATTATATAAAATACAGGAAACGAGATAGAGAGAGACATTCAATAAAACATCCGTAATATTGCAAATGCTAATAAAATAATAACAGAAGTTCATAAAGTGAATGAGAGAGCAGAAATCTTGTAAATATATGGAAGAATTTAATATATTTAACTTTTATATCTATTTTAATATACTTTAAAAAAATTTTTACTCACCTGGCATCGTGGAAATCGATTCGGCACGGTTGACGCCTCAATGCGAGATGGTGCTTATCGTGTCTGTAGGCTGAGTTAAAAGCTCGTGTAATCTTATCACCAAGGTTGGATACATTACTTGAAAAAGTTTATTACGTCAAAAAGTAACGCGTCATTTTTTATAAAAAGTAACGTTACTCATAAATAATTTTAAAAAGTAACGCGCTACCATTACTGTTACTTGAAAAGTAACAATTCGTTACTTTTTCGTTATTTTTTAATAAATCTAAAATAAGTTTAATTAGATTTTAAATTTGTATTTATTATTAAATGTAATAAATATGAAAACTTGAAACTCTCTAAATTAGTCCAGTATATAGAGCAAATATTTCTTTATATTATTTATTTTTATAGAAAGTTAAATGAAATTTATCGTTTTTAAATATTAATGACATTATTAAAAGTGCATTCCAATAATATTCACTATATTAGTAATCTATATCTGAAAATCTATAGTATATATGTATTATATACTATACTCTTAATATTATAGTATTACAAGTAACGCGTTACTTCCCAACTGTGTTTATCGCTCGCGTAATCTTATTTGCCGAAATATTTCGCTCCACTCTATCTCTTTTCTTTACTCTTCACACATGATACTGAACTTATCTAGAACGTAGTGATATGATATACTCCCACACCTTTCCTATTCATTGTATCGTATTGATTGGTACGATTACTGCAGTACCAGTCGCCATCAGTTCGATCAAATTTATTTTGTTCGTTTTCATTTTTGGTAAAATACACGTATGTGCATGTTATGTCAAATGTGTCACCGTCTATTAATTGAAAATTTCGGTAATTAATTTGTCAATCTCAATGCCTATAATCTTTTATTTATATAAATCAGAATTTTTAATTTTTTGTTTAATACATGAAAAAAAATTAGATTAGGAAAATGCAAATTACACGTACGATTAGAAATATGGCTTTAAGCAATTACCGATTAAGTATTATAACTATTAATCGTCGAATTACTCGTAAAAGCAAATCCTTTAAAAAATTTACAACAGTTTAAAATTAAAAGAACGTAATATTAAATTTTTAAGTTTTAATACGTAATACATTATTATAATTAGGCAAGATCTTTTAAAAACATCACGCAGATATATTTTTAATAGCTATGTAAACTTTGAAGTTTTAAAACATTTTTAAATAATTTCGAAATAATATTAGACGATTTATTGGTCAGTGGCATTTAAACATGCAGCCATTTTTAAATACGTCGCTAGTAGTTTCTACAGATTCTGCATAGATGTCTCTGCATTTGTCTCCCGCTGTTTCTTCTGCTTATTCTGGAGAGGACACAAACACGTGGAGAGATCAAGAAGACAGTTTTTATGTATACTTTGTTGAAAAAGTGCGCGTAATTCTTTTTTGAGGATGAAGGTTAAAGTGTTAAGCAGAAATCCCGATGAGTACTTACGGGAGACTAAACGAGACCTTCACAAAAGTAAGTCTATGTAACATTGTGAGGCCATTTACTGGCCTAACCTATTCGCGATGCGTAGCGATGATCGGATTTGCCGTTTTGTCGTTTTGCAGTCCCGCGTAACTTCGATCCCGCATTGCATCCCTTCCAAGCGGCCAGGGAGTACACGAAAGCACTGAATGCCGTGAAGCTCGAGAGGGTGTTCGCGAAGCCGTTCCTGGGCTGCCTGGAAGGCCACAGGGACGCGGTGTCCTGCATGTGCAAACATCCCTCCGAGCTGGCCACCCTTCTGAGCGGCGCTTACGACGGCGAGGTGAGAACGTGGAATCTCGGCCAGGGCACGTGCACCCGCGCGTTTCTGGCTCACGACGGCATAGTCCGCGGTATTGCGTACGCGCCGGACGGGAAACGTTTCGTCACCGTCGGCGACGACAAGACGATCAAGACCTGGGACGCCGTCTCCGCTGGCGGGGAGGAGGAACCCGTGAATACTATTGTCAGCAAAGTACGCAGCTTTTGGTCGCAGTTCTTTCTAAGATTTTGCCTGCAAATGTGAACGTATCTAAAACTCTTCAAGCAATTTCTTTTATCCTTAGACGGTATTAACTGGTATAACTCATCATTGGACCAAACCTGTATTTGCTACTTGCGGAGAAGGAATATGTCACATGTGGGAGGACACTCGTAACGAGCCGCTTCGTTCATTCAAATGGGGCGTGGATAGTTTGCTCGACGTTAAATTTAATCCCGTGCAAAGGGATCTTTTAGGTACGACATACGATGAAAGATTATCATATTTTTATTACACTTTTTTGTCACGCGCGTATACCCACGTGAGACATCGCCAGTAAATTTTCAAATTACCTATGCTTTATGTTAAATTTTAATTTCGTTCATTCAAATGGGGCATGGATAGTCTGCTTGATGTAAAATTTAATCCCATGCAAAAAGACCTTTTAGATGCGACATACGATGAAATATTATTATATTTTATTATACTTTTTTTTGCGCGCGCGTATACACACGTGAGACATCGCCAGTAAAATTTCAAATTAACTATCCATGCTTTATGTTAAATTCAATTTTAATTTCCAGCCTCCTGCGCCAGCGATCGCAGCATAATTTTATATGATACTAGAGAGACAGGACCATTAACAAAGATAGTAATGAAATTACGGAGCAACAAGCTCTCTTGGAATCCCATGGAAGCTTTCATCTTTACCTGTGCCAATGAAGATTACAAGTAAGATAGTAATACAGACATCGAGAGAGCTTCGCGTAATTTTTCTGTGAATTTTAAATACATATCTGTTTCAGTTTGTACACCTATGACATCCGCAAGTTCAAGACGCCCGTTAATGTGCACATGGATCACGTCGAGGCCGTGATAGACGTGGATTATTCGCCGACGGGGAGGGAATTCGTTTCGGGCAGTTACGACAAGTCGATTCGTATTTTCGAGGTGAATAAAGGCCACTCGCGAGAAGTGTACCACACAAGGCGCATGCACAGACTTACCTGCGTCGGATGGTCGCTCGATAGCAAATACGTGATTAGTGGCAGCGACGAGATGAATCTACGTGTGTGGAAGGCTAAAGCATCGGAGAAGCTCGGCGTTGTAAGCATATTTATCACGATTTCACGAATGTGCAATTTTGCGTAAATCACGACGATAATAATCAACCTGCTTTTGTTCCTATTTTCAATAGCTGAGAGCCAGAGAAAGGAACGCGCTGCTTCTCAATGACGCCTTGAAAGAGAAGTACGCGGCGCATCCGCAAGTTCAACGAATTGCGCGTCACAGACACGTGCCGAAACACATATACAATGCGCGGGCCGAATTGCGAGAGATTCGCGAGAAAGGTAGACGCAAGTAAGTACAACTAAATACTCGCGGTATACTCGAATTTTGCAATATATATTTTTGAACGGTATCTCATAACATTGTTTCATCTCGCAGGGAGGCCAATAGACGTTATCATTCTAAAAAGGGAACTGTGCCATTCAAGTCAGAAAGGCAAAAGAGTGTTGTGGGTAGAGACAGCTGAAGCGGCGTGTATCTCGTATTCTCGGATCATTCCATCTAACACGATCAAACGCATCATTTCGATATTTATCGACACAGCACTCGTTGGTTGTCTCAAATTGATCTTTATACTGTTGGATTCTACAGGATGTTATGTAAGTCTTAAAGGAGTACTTTGTATTATATTTATTGTAATAAATAATTTCTCTTGACATTATACAACGCATCGCGATAATAAATTCATAAAACATTACAAACCTCAAGCAGTGATTAATGTCATGCGTATAGCGTACATTACAACAGTTAATTATGCTGCGTTTCTTGCGCGATTATCTTAGCACGCATTAATCGATTTCGCAATACAAACACTCTTCTTCGGTTTTACTCTCGTTACTTTTAACTTTATATTCCAAAAACACCGTTTTAAAATCTTTGCACGATTTCCATTAGATCGCGCATGTGCGTGAGATTATAACGATATAAGACACATCACCCTTTTTTTTACGCAATTGCTTAAAAAATGATTTGTCGTGGATGTAATGAAATTTTACAGATACGGATATTTCTGTGATGAGATTTTTTTTCCCTTTCGTTATTACAACAATAACACTTTTAGCAATTCGCGTTGTCGTTAAAGCATTGGAACACATTGTTGAAGCGGAAAGTTACAGTCGATTCATATTCGCAGAAATCTATTATACATATCATACATACGATTTCAATGCAGCATATGGATCATTCGGAGCTTTCGCCCAGCACAATGTGTTACTAGATGTGAATCTGAATATGAAACTTGCCGCGACACGATTATCGATGCAATCTCATTTGTCGCTTAGGAATCGAAAACCGTCATCATTTTGGAAAATTTAATAGATGCTACAAAAATGTACGCTATATATGTCGCCTTTACACACATTCCCGTATATCCCTACAGCATCAAAATTTAATCACCGAGATCGTTGCGGGCTTAATCTCTACTCTTATTTTTCGTAATGAGTAACGGTCGTAATGAAAAATGTTTCTGATGAGATGTTTATATTGGCAGGTTTTGATGAGATGTTATATTGGCAGTTTGTAGATTTTTTTTTTATGTAGTTTGTATATCCTACTCAATAGCCACGAAATCGATAATACTTGGTGATTTTATACTCGGAAAATTATTTTCTGGTGTATAAAAAAGTGCCACGTGATTTAGTGTCTCGTCGTCGCTGAGAGTCGTTTAAATACGATAGTTACCTACGCGTAATCGTATAATTTTCATTGTATCGTAGCTATGCGCGAATTTCTGTACAAGACTAGGATAGCTGAGAAACTAAATTATCGCCCATTACAATATAATTCGTGTTTCGCCGAGTCGAAATTTCGAGGAAGTTCTATGTCCCCTCTTAGGCGTAATTGCATTTCCAAGATTCCATGCCGTTTGCTAATCCTCTTTGACGTTTACTAATTAAATATACGTATGGAAATATAACGCGCGAGTGAGAATAATTGTAACATATATACATATAAACACATGTACATCAATATTGCGATCAGGGGCCAAACACGAAAAATACATCGTTCGTTTTTACTTTCGTTTTATAGTTTTATTTAAAAAAAAAAATGTATATTATATATATTGATTTCAACAAGTTATAATAGAATATCTTCCAATAGTTTTTCATTATTCCATTCGCTGTAGAATGAAAAATAAATCAGAAAATTTTCATTTTCCATGTTATTTTATATGCGTTATTAATTGAAATATATGGCAATCGAAATTATTTATACCATTTTCAATACTAAACGGGATCAAATTGTCTCTCATTTCATCGAAATTTCGGTGAATATTTTTCGTTTTTGGTCCCCAATATATCGGATTGCAATATACCATCGGAATGCGATTAAATTGACAACGAAAGAATCTAACTTCGACACATAACAGGCTCGATAATTGACCTGTCTTGATTTTGCTCCCAAGCTCGAACACTTTTAAATGATTCAATTCACTTACAATTAGCTGAACCCTTCGTTTCGAGGTACAGAATATGTGACGCTCCCTCGTATTTCTCACATTTGAAGGATGCACTTTTGATTAATTATAAAATCCGGTCATATAAAGCGGAAAAGGCAATCGCGTTTGCCTATTATACAATAGCCCTCCCGCTTCCGGAGCGATCATAAATCAGTGTAGTTTACGTTATGTGTGTGACGATGGTAACACGATCCTGAACTAAATCTTACAAGAAAGTATTAGATAACCGTTTCAATTGAATAAAACTTACTAGATCACTTTCGGACGCCGTGAAGCTGCAATCGAGAGAGGAACTAGATGGAAAAATATAATATCTTAATATAACGCTATCCCAGAAAGAAATTATCGATTTTTCTCTCGGAGAACATATATCTTTCATATGTATATCACCTTCGGTTTCCTCCTGAATCGTCATACACTTTTGACGTCCTTTGAACGTGTTTTTCAATTCTATTTTAACTGTAAATTAAAATTCATTCGAAAAACTTTTAAATTCGTAATCTTTCGCAACGAATCGATTCGTTCCTCTTAATTCTCCAATTTCGCGACTGTTGCGCGTTTTATAACAAGGATATATTATTACGAATCGTTTGGCAACTGTCGGGAGCGAGCCAAACGATAACAAAACTTGATTTCGACAGTCCGTTTAACGCAGAGAAACTCGCAAAAATATAATATAATCTTCCTAACGAGCATTCGAACATATACATATATATTCCGTTTCGCGAAAATAATTTATTCCGATTCAAGTTTCGACAGCAGTCAATCGCTATAGGAAGCTTAATACTAAACATCTCGCTAGGCGCGCGCGTGCCGTAATACAAAAAAAAAATCGCATCGCTATTCTAGTCACGCGTCCGTATACATACGCTAGCAGTTATTAAATTATCTACGCTATGTTTCTTACCGTTATTAATGACTTACGAGTATGTATCACTGGTGTGGCTGTGCGAGTCTTTCCGGAACATAGATTCGTTAACTAAGCGTCGTCCAATGTGCGTCGCGCCGATGCCGATTTCCCCAGACGCTGCAGGATCTCTTCTTGCGGATAACGATCGCAAGTAACGTCGGCTCTCTACGTACAATGCAATGGCACAAAATCGATTCAGGTACAAATATACCGAACGGTGCCTCGCGTATCTTCCAACTGGTTTCACATGAATCGACAAACTGTAGAAAAGTGCAGAAAAGAGAGAGAGAGAGAGGGAGGGAGGGAAAGAAAGAATAGTCGACGATTCTAGACATTCAAATCGGCCATCATTTTGCGAAAATCCGCCAGGGTATTGTAATCCGGGTCCGAATCGATGTCCGCGAAATCCTTGCTGGAGTCAGTCTTGACGAAGCTCGGATTATATCGGCTCAGCGACAACGGGCACGGCAATAATTCCGGCATGACCGAATGGTGAGTGATTAGCGAGGTGAGCGTCGTGAACTCTTTTGTGAAGCCCTGAAACATACGACGTTATTGATTTTACAGCGTTCGTAGTGCTGTATATCATGCATTAATTTCAACGCTTTTCAAAGTTCCCTCCGTGTATACAACTCCGCTTTCTCTCGACAACTGTAAACGTTGTGGAAACGTCACGGTTTTTATCCAGTCCGTGGAAAAATAAAAATTCTTTCTATACGCGCGGAATTCTTTTTACGCGCTACATATTTTTGCGGAGAAGTAATCAAGTATCTTTCACTTTTTAAATATATATATACAGGAACATTTCCGTTTATAGAAAAAAATTAGAGATATTGAATGAAGAGCAAAGTAAAAATATATGATATTTTTTCAAGGCGGAGAACTGGAGATAATTTATTCATAGTCGAAACGGCAGAGCTCAAAGATTTGAAATAATAAAGAGGAAAACTTCCCCTCGTCCACGATAAATAACGCAGCGACAACGTAACCGGCTTATTGTTTCAGCTATTATCATGCGTACATTGTATTATTCAATATCATGCACATTATCATGTTACTGAGCATTGTTGTAACACGCGTTGTCTGGACAATGAAATACGATATTAGTCGGCGGTCTTTCCTCGCGTTTTCAGCCGCGCTCTGCGAAACAACGCCGCATAACGAAGACGATATTAAATGTATCATACACGTGCGCGCCCCGACGACACGAGGTACGGCGGCCGCGGCGGCGCGTATCAGGACTATCGCGCACCCGGCATTCATTCGAATCTGGGCGTCTCGTGCTTGTTACGTGCGCGATGCAATTCCGTTGTCGTCGTGTGTACAAGGGCGAGGGAGAGAGAGAGCGGAGTTTTGATTTCCCCACGGCATCCGCGGCACATCCAACAAAACTCATTTATACTGGTTTCGGAGATTATCAAAGTCCGCGGACTCATTTAATCTATCCTACGAAGGGCGAGGAGGGGCGGAGAAATTCGACCATTTAAATACCGAATGGCTAAATGGCGCCGGTATAGCTTTGCGCCAGGCGTGGATAGTCCTGGAGAGAGAGTATAATGTTCGGACTACTAAAAGCTTCGGCCCTTCGCGCATTAGCATCCCGCGCAGCTTATTTCAATATTAACTTGCGCTTATATATAGGGAGGATTCTCTCTACCGGGGATATTATTTCGAGCGTTAAAAAGAGCTTTAACCCCCTTGGTTGGAACCGGCTCTTTAACAGCTTCGCACGACGTATATGAACGCGAAGATCCAGTAAGCAAAGTGCTTATTGCGTTAACAGTTTCGAGCAGAATATCGCGGCAGAATGACAACATCCATTGCGTGCGCATTAAGTTCGTACTCTGTCGGCAAATTTTGTTAATATACTTTGCCAAACCGAACAGAATCTGTTTCGTAATTATTTAAATGTCTCTCTTTAAAATTAAATATATTTATACTTTTGCAGTTAATTTGTTTTATCATATTTTGTTTAGCAGATTATATTACGTTTCCGCTACCATTCTGGCGTTATAATTGGATCCTTTGCGAAATCTTCGACAGATTTGGCTGTCTGGAGATGTCGCGTTTTAAAACAAAATCGCGTCTATCAAAATTCTTGGAGAGAAACGTTAAGCAGATTTGCGATTCCGTGCGGATTCTAGTTTTCGCTTTCGCAGCCCTTTGACGGGAACGCGCGGATGTTGTCTGGCCGATGATGGGAGGATTCGCTTTGACTTTCGCGAGCGCCGTTTCGCGACTATACTCGACCTTATATACCTTGATACTCGATACTCGGCAAAGAGTGGCCGAAGACAGAAAGGGAGAGACTTACTTTGATTTTGTAACCTTTGTTTGTACGCATTATGAGATAATGGGCTATTCCGCTCGGCTGGAATTCACGGGGCACACGGAGGGAGAGAGCGTAACATCCGGGCTTGCTGGTACTCTCGCGCACCATGAACGCTCCTTCCGGCTCCTGGCTCAATACCTCCAGCGTTATTTCTCTGGAATCACGGATTCGCATCGTTAATGATAGACGCGTGAGATGTCTTTTCTTGCGGGAAACGGGAGGGGGGGGGGGAACGAATCGGATTTGCGTGTCCCACAGCGGGCACAAAGGGGCAGCCACTGGAAACTGGACTGTGTAGGACTGGATCACTCGACGAATATTTAAAATTAGCCAAAGGCAACGGACGTGCTATTTCGGCGCACCGCACGCGCGCGCGAGAGCGTGTGCGCGCGTGTATATTTTACTCCGACATGCAGCAATGTCGCGCGGGGACCAACCTGGGTATTCCAGCTTGAAACCAGGGCGCCTTGCGTAGCTCGGCCTCCTCGCTTCGATTATTCAGGCTGTCTGTTCTCTCGGGTAAAGGCGGCGGGGTTGGCGTGGAGCCATGAGTGCTTCCGTCAGCGGGCACCGAGCTGCTCGACGTGCTAATTTGCGATCTTCTTTTCGACTTGAATTCCGCCTCCGTGCCCGAGTCTGGGCAATTGTGCCCTATCCTGAAAATGAAAGAGCTGTCGTTCACGATACGTACCGTACGTATCCCTCGTCGCTTCCGGAAAAGCGAAAAGAAGAGGGGAAGAATGGAGAGAACGCGATTCGGTCTAAACTTACCTGTTGTTCTCGATGTTGAAATTCTTCGCGTTGGTGATGGACGCGTTGATGGTGTTGTCGAGGCTCTCGGACGGCGGGATCTTGTTGTATGACGGCCTCATGCCCTCCGAGTCGATGATCGCCTCGTTTATGTAGCCCCCGGAATGGGGCCTGTTCGATGGGCTGGTCGGCGTGCTGCTACCGCTGACGAGCGGGCAGCTGTCATCCTCACCGTTCAGCCCAAGAACGTCGCGTCCACCTGTCAAACCCATCGCCAACCGCTTTATCAGCGGCGGCTTGTCCGTTAGCCTCTTGTACGAGTTCAACTCCGTCGGCGAGTTGCTCTCATCACTGCTCGGCGTGCTCTGTTGGGATATGCTCTTCGGCTCGTCCGCGTTCGTTATGGGCCCGAGGACGTTCGTAAACGCCGGCCGTAGACCCGGGATCGTGTTCGGCGCCTGGAATTATTCGGAATCGTCGTTCAAGCGCGATGCCGGGCGTTCGCTTGTAGTCGAGGTTGAGCGTGTTTCGCAAACGCGCGTCACGCGAGAAACGCTCGGAGCCGAGATATTAAACAAAAAAAAAAAGACGTGTCGCCTGGCCGGGATGACGCGGCGTTCTGCGAAGTTAATTTGCTCTAAGCTGCCACCCAGGCGGGCTAACTCGCTTTCACGCAACAGCGTCCGAGCTGTAATGTAATAGCGGCCACAGCCTCCGCTCACGGCGCGGCGGATTTGTTATACACTTGTATGAAATCACCTTTACGCTGGCGAGTCGTAGCGTGGGCGAGCCGGCGCTGCCGAGCTGCACGTTCATATCCGCTGCGGACGGACCCCTTCCAGACTTGGAGGTGGGCGACGTCCGACTTTTCAGCCACGAGTTCGACGACGGACTCCTGCAAGCGCCCGCGGCGATCGTGTCGTCTCCGGGCAGCGATTTGTTCTGCAAACGAAACGGCGGTCATTGCCGAAATTATATCCCCGCGATCGCGACGGCGTGTACTTAAAGGGGTCCTCCGATTATTTCCTCGTGATCGGAGGTTCCTCTTCAACGCGCAATCATTGCCTTAAATGCGGATCCGACGGCCCGGTCTCTCATGGACGAATCGTTGATTAGGCAGAACCGAACGAAACGATCCGGTCTCTTTGAGATTCTCCCGGGTTGAATATTTGATCGGCGGAATCGGCACGGTTCCCAAAGGCGATTTTGCGGCGGGGAACCAACAGGCGGACCGTGGCGGACTGACCGTTTACTTGGAAACGCGAGACGACGCGAGACGACGCGAGGCGACGCAAGGCGACGCGACGCGAGGCGGTAAGCGAGAGACTCGGGTCGAATTTATAATTAACGCGGCCCGTAAACGGGACACCTACTGGAGACCACGTCGGCAGAGGACACGGTTGTCGTCGTTGTCCCTTTCGTCTCGCGCGTCTTGGATATTTAAGAGGCTCTTCCGCGAGCTCTGCTCCAGAGCCGCTTCCTTACTGCCGTACGTGTATATGCATCCCGGTACGCGGTATCTGCGCTCTGCAGTAGCATCTGCTCCAATAGCCTCCGGAGTATCGTGCTCGCGCCGAGCAAATAAAATTTAGTCGAGGAAAAAAAAATTTAGTCGCACAACCCGGACAAATGATCTTGATGTCGATTCATTTTGTATATGGAAAGCCTTTGAGTTATAATGATTGCGGCGATCGAATCGTAAAAGCATTTCTCGTTACATTCCCGAGTAATTGAAGTATCTTTTGGGATTTCATTTTCTATGCGCCTCTATTTGTTTTGCGTGGCGAAAGCAAATTGCCGCGATACAGCTCAACAGGCGTAATCTTTAAGAAGATCTCGGAACTGTCCGCTAATTGCTAAAACTACTTAATTGCAATCTACGGCGCTTTTGTGAGAACACTAGCAGATGGCACGATACCTAACCGGGCCTTGTAAAGTTTAAACTCAACTAACTCGCTAGCTGACGGCGACAAAAATAAATGACTTCGTTAGCACTTTAAACTACACGGTGCTCCTTTTATTGGCTAGCAAGGCGCGCGTTGGTAACAATTCTTTTATACCTCTCGCGTAATTTTCGCGATTTTTCTCTCGGCCACTCAAATTTCAAATCGATCGATCACGCACGTTATTTCGTTACGTTTGAAAAAAAAACGTACCCACGACGTTCGATGCTCCTGCTTGTCCTTGCGATAAGACGGCGTCGCTCGCGGTGAGATTACATCCTGAAGGATCGGTTGGCGCTGAAGCTGCGCCACGTACGCCATGCGGAAAGCATTGCCAACGATGGTGTTCAGCTCCTCCGCCTGCAAGCAGAACAGCAAAGCTCCGAGTTTCCGACACAAATTTTATTAAACACAGCATTTTGCCGTCGCTTTCGCAATATTGCTGTCGCAATCCGATTGCGGCCGCGGTTCGCTGCTTTGAGTTTAATTACGCGGAATATTTTCGTGCCCACGCTCCACGAGATAATTAGTCCGTGCAATTGATAAATATGCGAATTACACATGTAAGGTACTTATAACTAAATATAAATTTTATTGAGCAGAAATTGATCTTTCACGTATCATTAAATATAATACTGTTCAAAGAACGATATTTTTTCGAGCACGAGAATAGCTTTCCGTAATTTTTTTACGACGTCGAATATGAATTCAATCCAATTACGAAAAAAAATTAAATTATGAATGAGATCGTATTCAGCGCCAAAATAGCTATGAAGAACGATTATTTTCATTCTTATTTTTCTGTCGAACAATGATAATTTATCATTGGAAAATTAAAATATATTTCAGATATAAATAACTTCTGCAAAGCTGGTTTTTAAACTCGAAAAGAAGAATCGACTGTTCAAATTAGTGCTAGTTATAATGTCAAAGGCTGTGCTAAAGTAAGTAAGTAGTAAAGACAATTGTATTGCTCGCGCGTTGTTGAGCAACATTACAAGCAAAACTTGTTGCAAGTCTAGGAAACTTTACGTTGCACAAAAATAATACATCCGAGCCAATTAGATTTTTCCGGATCCGCCGTTGGCGGATTTCCGAGAAACGGATGCGGTCGGACTGAAGAGCAGACGGCCGTGTTGGCGCGGTGCAAAAGCGGAGTCTGAATGTGTAATAAGCACTCGCGGAGAGCCGCAAGCTTTCGGAGGGCTCGGCCTCGCTCGTGTGTACGCGTTTAGAAAGCTCCCGAGTGCAAATACGCATTCGCGCGCGATCCAGATGCAGATGAAGGGGCGCGCGCGTGCGTTACGAGCGGTCACGCATACGTATCTACCAGCCGGAAATGGGAAAAAGGTCGGCGAGGGCTATCTTTCTCCTTTCCCGAAAAATCCCCGCCGCTGAAAGCCGCGACGCGGTGCGTATTAATGCACACGCCGGGGTCGACCGACCCGGAGTGTGGGCTAGGGGAGAGAGAGGGTCTGGAGGTGCGCGGAGACGCACGAGAGCGTGGCGATTAACGTCTCTCGTCCGTCTAACTTTTCCTTTCACGGTGCAAACCACGAGAGCGAGAGCGGGGGGATCGTACAGCCGCGTCCGGGGAGATATTCAATCGTTTCGCGTCGTCGCCGGGGCATCCTACGTACACCTCGGATTCTAGCCCCGCATACTTCGCCTATGTAGTACTTCGCCTGTGTATCCCTTCCGCGACATTGTTACGACATTGTTGCAAGCGACGCGGAAATCCTCGTAGATCCTATAGAGGCTTGGGTTCCGCATACTCCTTTCCCCTTACTCTCCCGTAAAGCAAGGAAATACGACTCGCCGGTGGAATCCGCGCATACGAGCGACGAAAATGTAAAAAAAAGAGGAAACGAGAAGCAGGATTGCAAAGCGAAACGCATCGCGCAGTATTTTCCAATGATGCTGTATCGATTTGCGCGAGCTGTCGCTGCCGCGCGTTGCTGCGGAAAGTCCCATTGTCTCGGCGCGGCGACGCTTAGATCAGTCATTTCAGGCATGTTCGAAAGGCGAAGCGAAGGAAGTAATGCCGGGGAGGGGTTAATGCGTTTTAATGAATACACGCTCGCGCAGGACAACGGCTTTTGAATTAAAACGCGCGGCAATGCTCGGCTCGAATAATTTCATGGTTTGCGGTTTGAAGCCAGGTCGAATGACTTCCACTAGCTTACGAGATATTTCAATCACGTTTGCCCGCGGAGCAAGACGTTGACTTGAGCTATAATTGCCGGACCGGACGCACGACCGCTCTGCAACTCGCTAAGTCATATCCGAGCGGTCTCTTCCGCCGCTCCAAGTGCCATACGAATTGCCGTTTAGTTACGCAAATTGAGTTCTTTCACCGCTGTACAGAGACGCATACCTTTTCTTTTGAAGGTGAAGAAAGCAATAACATCTGCCGATGTATTAGAGATATTCGGCTTTATAAAAATGCGAGATCACTTGAGATACGTTGGCGAACGTGTTTAACATAAGTTATTTACGATATGTCGAAAGACTAAACAATCTTTCTCTCATTATTTCGGAGAATGCAAATTGCATATCCGTGTATCTGTTACTTTAATGACGCAAACAAATTATCCGCAACCACTTTGGTTGTTGCAATTGAAATTTGAAACACGATAAGGTTCATGCATTTTCAGCTACTCTACTTTAGCTTCTTTCATTAGCTCGGCTATTTCCATCGGGCGCGTACGTGTGCGCACCGGGCGTCAAGATGCAAAGCGGCAGATATCATCAATGGAGTACCGCGCACCGCGTTCCACAACGTGGGAAAATCTGAGGGACTAATTTTATCGTAGGAGAGAACACGTCCCTGCCATCAACGCCATGTTTCACGGAAACCGTGAACGAAAACGTCCCGGCGATGGAAGCTCGCTCGCTCACGACGACGGAGAGCGCAAAGGATCGTGTCATAGGGGAGAATTTATCGTCGCCCGTGGGCGGAACGCTTGGACGCGGGGATCGTGGCTGGAGATCCCTCGCGAGAGTTCGACCCTCCTCCTCCTCCACCGCCCTCGCCCCCCGTGGCCGAGAATCGAAAATACGGCCCTGAGATTCCCGCCCCGAGGTGGAATTTAAGCGCGATGAAATCATCACCGGCGACTCTTCTTTCTTCCTCTCCGCTCTACCCTATCCTGGACGTTGACTCGAGCAGGCACTGACCCTCTTCACCGCGTTTGGATTCAGGTCCGTTTGATCGATCGGCGGCGATCGTACCGCTACAGCTACCGCGGTGAATCGTCGCGTAAATTGCGACGTCCTTCCTTGAATCGCAGACGCGAGATTTGCGCCGGCGAAAATTCTCAAGATGAGGTCCCAAAAGGAGAGAGAGATCGACTCTGCGTGTGGATCAAACGTCGCGTGATAGAACGTTACGCAGATTTGCAATAAAAAAAGAAGAAAAGGGAAAAAAAAGGCATGACTTCGGAGGAGCTATTTTAGTTCGCTCGAGCACAGTCTGATTCGCTGTTTGCGCCGGTGGCTTCGGCAAAAAGACGAGGGACACACCGGAATCGAATGGGTAGGGGACCGAAAGGGCGATGGATCGCGCGCCGTGGCTTTGCGCCGGTGCAGCGTGACGGGCTACATTCCAGGCATTCCGCGCGGTCACGGCCATATCTCCAGCTCCTCTAGATTTCCCGTCCCGCATACGCCCGGTCTACCAACACCATTCCGCGGTACACAAGCCGGTACTCGCAATAATGGCGCTCGGGTGGGGACCGGCCCTCTCGTCCGCACCTCTGAAATTTCCCTCGCTTCGGTTTCTGGTTTACCTCGACGTCGCGACGCTCGGCCCCCGCGGGTCTAAATGGCCGGCGAGGAAAAATTATGGCGTATGAGAAGGTATAATACGGACACGTTCTCTCTTGCCGGGGCGATTATTATTGTGCTGCGCGCGAACCGATGCCGACCACAACCATCTTGGTACCATCGCTTCGCTACCAGCGCCATCGTCATCGATGGCGACGATGGCTCAACCGCGCTTTCACGTTCACATTCGCTGTCCTAATTCTCTTTCTCTCTTTAATGCTTATAACGTTAGTAATGAAATTGACATCATAATAATTACGCTCCTTTCATTCAGTCACTCTGCGAAGATCTTTCGATCTGCCTACGCGGATGTAGGTCGAGCTTGTGCGATTGTACTCGCTGAAGATGACAACAAATCCTATGAATTCGTGACATCCCCGCTGCGTTATGTCGCAGCCACAAACGCTAGTTAAAGTTAACACAGGTCCAACTGGTTCTCCGTGTCATTTTCAATCTCCGTTTGTTTGAGAGAGAAACGAGATCACGTGCTCAAGGACTGTCAAGCTCGTGCGATCGACGAATCAAGTTAAAACAAGCATGAACGAGTTCCGCCTTCGGTGTCATGGGCTTCTGCTCATGACAGGCACGGTAGTTTCGAATGTCAAATATTCAAGTTGCACCGTTACGCGCCGTTACACCGATATGACCGGACTCGAGCGTCAGACGAGCTGACGAAATAATTGTTACAACGTTCGTGACGATTATGCAACGATGACAGAATTTACCCCGGAAATTGAATTACAATAGGCTTCAGAAGAGAACATCTTTTCGTGAAAGAAATGAATTCACGTTCGCATGATAATGAGGATGCAGCGAACGTTCCATTTATCTGCATTTGATTGTGTTCACGAATATCAAGAATCGATCGTTTCTACGAAAGAAATTATCATTCAAATAACAAATTACAAAAAGAGACGAAAATTGAATATTAATACCTTATATATCAAATAATAATTTTCTTATGTTAAAGCTGGAATGTAATATCGTATTATTAAGTTAAGAATTATTTTAATATTATTTGATGCTAATAAACATTTTATAAACCGATACGAGGAATTTATTGCGAAAAGAATTGTCCGAATTAAAATTCGAATCTAGACCTCCCTAGAAAGCAGTTAATTAGCAACGATAATTTTGGTAATGGCTCTACGCTTTTTGGACTTTGTGAGCTAGCCGCAAATCCGCATGGGAGACCGTACAACCTTGTTGGTGCATAATGCCGAAATATCGTTTGACCGTGTGGCGAGTACTTTGTTCGACGTAACGTGAAATCGGTCGAAGATTGGATCGAATTTAGCTAGAGAGCTGCATCGGTCAGGAAGCGCAGATGAAGCACGACCGTTGCATAATCAGACCCTTTGATCAGCAATTAACGCCACAACTGGAGCCTGCTGGACGTCCATCTGTTTCGTATCTAACAGACATGATGCCAAAATATTACAACGCTGTAATGCTACTTTGGTCCTCGTCATACAACTGCGATTGCTTTTGCGATGAATTCAGAAAATTTGACATTTTTCCGAAATTAATATAAATTCCAGTTAATTTAAGAATTAAAGACGAACATAAGATTCTTAAAATATTTTATACTATGTTTTATCTTTGGATCTAAGAAATTAAATTATATAACTAATAAAATTGTCAAAGTTAGTCAAAAATTTTCTTATAATTAACGGATTAAATAATGTGGAAATAATATTACGTTTATAGTATCTGAAGTTTACATAGTTTTTAGTAACAAGTGGATTAACAAAAAATTGCGCATAACAAAGGAAGCGTTCATTCTTATCGTGTTATTCTTATTAAAGGATTATTAGCGTGGAACCCGCGTATCAAGTTGCCTAAATGAGCGATGTAGCCTTGATTGGCTTTACTCTTGCGATTCGTCAGTCTGGCTCGTCGTATGGGGGCCCTCGACAATAAACAGCGAGCTTAAAGACGTAGTGATGCGTGAATCGTGTATCACAGTACGACAATACGCCCACTTTGTGGCCCGTACAGTTTGCTACTGTACCCTTGAGCCCCGTCATTAAACCTATTTCGGTGCCTCTAGAAATGCACCCTCGAGGACGCCATGCGACGCTTCAAATTTCTCGTCGCTCGAATTTCCTCCTTATCGAACGCGCGGTTCCGCGCAGTGATTCTCAGCGGACGCAAACATTCAATGGAGAATGGTATGTATTCCTAGAATCGCGTTATCAACGACCAATATTGAAACATCGTGAGTTGTTGAACTATCGAACCATCCTGACGAAACAATAAGTAGAATGAAAAGAATGACAGAAATAAAACTGATACTTTTCTCGAAGTCATCTGTTCTTCCGCTGACTGTGATGTAAGAATATAGAAATCATTTCACGTACGGAACGTTTATTTCTCTAATTGTGGTGATATTTTGCGACCTTTACATCTTGCATGCCGCTGAAAATTATGCACGGAAACTGTTGGTTACACAGCGGATACATAATACTAATAATGTCATGATCGGATTTGGCTCGAATCGATTAAGTCATTGTATTAATCCGCAATACGCATTATGCAGTATAGATTATAGAGTAATCCGAATGTTCTCCATTGCGTAAGTCAATCAGTTCCCATTATCTATCGAAAATGCTCATATAATACCGAAGAATGTAACTTCAAGACGATATATTGATTCGCGCGTAGACTTTTTATTGAACACTGAGTTATTTTTTCTGTGTTACGAGTATATACTTTGAAATGTGAAAAAAAATCTAAAAGTTATATTCTACTTTCTTGGAAAATATAAACAAATGTTATTTTTAAATTTGAAGAACAACATAAATTAACATTAAAGATATATCAATAGCGCAAATATTAGAGAAAGTCCTTCTTTCTTAACAAATAATAATACAAACTAATAAGACGTTAACAATAGATAATAATAGTTAATAATATATATAATATTGACAAGGAATTGAAAAATATGAATCTAATTATGTAATTTATTCTATTTAATTATATGAGAGTAAGTGTGCTCTATCAATCTCCGCGGTGAGTATAATCGCGGCTCTGTATTCTCGGCCGGCAGTGAAATAAAAGCCAAACCCGGAAGTGGGTGTTGTGAAATCGAACAAAATGAAGCACAGTGGTAGTAGCATGAAGGGGAGCAGCATTGTCGTCGATAAAAATAGTTGACATATGCGTTCAATGCGAGGGACGACGCAGTCGGCGTACATTCGATTCGAGCGCATGAACATTGCGCGCACCTCGCGATGTCATTCTCGGCAGGAAGCGCGCAGGAAGCGAGCCTAGTCATTGTAAAATGGCACTTTACGGCGCGTCTCGCCTTGGAATCACCGTGGAAATCTCAAATTGTAAATTGCACGAGTGGTCGGTGGTATGTCGAGCACTTTTGTAAAGAGCCATTATAGATTTTCCGCGACCGCGTTTGCCGTTTCTGCGATAATAGGCACTAACGAAATTACACGCCATAAGAAACGCGAACCCCTTCGACGATATTCGTCATCGATTTCCGCGCATCCCGCGTTCTCGAAGTCATCGCGTCAGTTGTCCAATCTCGACTGGCATATTTTGTGAGAAAAGCGAACGTTCCGTTCGCGCAGCAGGAAACGAGTCGTACGCACATGCATGTAAGAAAAACGCAAGATCACATCTGCTCCGAGGCGCTACGCTAACAAAAACGGAAGAGGACGAGGCGGCCGATGTGAATGGTACGAAAAATCGGTGACGAGACCATTACAAAGTCCTTCACCGAGGGAAACTAACGTGTTATTGAGAAGCTACCAGAGGTATAACTTATGCCTCCACCTATATATAACTCTCGAGTTCATATTGTACTGAGAGAGCCTCTACGAGAGGTGCCTCGACGGTAATGGGCCACCTTTTGTGCGAGATGCTCTATTGATGTCGGGAGAAATTCCGTAACGTTTGCGCAATACGATAGATGACTCGTTTCCTCTCCGTCTGCCTGTCTCTCTTTTTTTTCTTTCCGCTGAAAATATCTTCTCGACCGCGTCGGTCGTCGCGGCCGGGGACGGGAATCCGGGACGAATCCTTACGCGGATTCACCTGGCGGCTTCACGGATGAAGTGAACTCGCCTGGGAGATCATTGGAAACTCGTCAAATTCGGACGGCGCTTTGTGAATCGGCGCTACGGAGTACTTTCGGCCTTTGTCCGCGGGACGCGGTGGGTCGACGCCGAATTATGATTTTCCATTGTGAAGTCAAGAGGAACTAACGGTGGGACCGGCGGCTGTCGTGCGTGGGTCCTCGAAGCTTCTCTCGCTCGAATCGGTTTTGGCGACAATACGAGATAATCCAGCTGCCGGTGTGTACTATACAGCGGCTATACAGAACCACGCGGTATTAACGATACAATGAAGGCAGTATCACGTTGTTAACGCACACGTTTCTATTATTTTCTAATACCGAGCGAAGTTCCTTGGACATATAAGATCCGACGTTTCTAAACGCTCGCGGTCGCACACGAACGCCGGCTAGAATAATGACCGGGTTCGTATATCGTCGCTAAAATATCAATGCTGTGTAGACACTCCATCGGTAAGGAGCCAACGAGCGAGGCAGCGAGGCATCTCGCGCTACAAGCAGCTATATGAAGCCGAGGAATGCGTTCGTCCGATCCCACGGCTTATCCCCCTTCACTCTCCCTTCCCTCGTTAGCTCTTTTTCTTTCTGGTACGCGATAGTAGTATTACCGGGCTTAGGCTTTCTCTCTCTCTCTCTCTCCCTCTCCCTCTCTCCTCTTCCCCCCCTCTCTCTCTCTCTCTCTCTCTCTCTCTCACGTTCTCTCTGACTACAGTATGCAATCTACCGACTCGATGGCTCTCTTTTAGCAAATCCTGGAATGTGACTATCATACCTGGACCAATCTCTCTCAAATCTTGAAGAAACAGATAAATACGTACACTGATAAATTAGACAACTTCTATCGATGAACGTAGGTGTTAGAAAGTTGAACGACTAGAGATTATGAGAGCAACTTCGACATGAGAATTAAGCTAATTTTTATTTGAATATATATTTATATTACATATTTTCAATTTCTTTTTGCATCTGTTGGACATTGAATTTCCGCGTTGAAGAGATAGCGAACAATTTGAAGAGCTTTGCGACACTTTATTAAACGTTAATGATCGAGTTTCTCACAGCCTGATGAAACAATAGGGGACCGTTTCACTTCTTTTCCTTCTTTTAGCATCGTTGCATCGGCCACCGTCTCCGGGGTCATGTTGCGGTACCGCGACCTAATCGCGATCCGTTAATATCGCAAGAGGTAAAAGCTTACGCCGCGAAGCCAGGGCGATATCCAGATCGTTTTATTATGCATGTCGGATCAGTTGAAACTGGTATTTGCAATCGTTTAGAAGCGGAAATCATCGTTCTTCCTACTATATATATAGAGATAGACGAAAAACGAGTTATTCAAACTTCTATTACTCGAACTTCAAGAGAAAACGAATAATCGATCGTGAATAAGCGGACGCGAGACACGCCGCGCGAGTTTTAAATCCGCGCGATTTGACTTCGAATTTGGAACTCACTTTGAGTTTTTGAGTGTGACCACATCGGCAACAGCAATACGACATGTAGTCAGGTAGCGCGGGCATGAACCTCAACTGCTCCTGCTGCGAGTACTCGTCCACGAGCTTGCGATAGTGCACCCTGAAAATGGGCCTTGTGCTTGCGCTCTGCGAGCCTTTGCCAAGGCGTCCCATAATCGCAAAGAATGCGGTCAGGATATTGCGCCTGCGTGCAAGCCTCCTCATGCCACAGCGACCGTTGTACCTTGCACGTTGTCCTGCGAAATCGCCTGCCTTCTCGCCGCCCTTAATTTTCACGAAAGAGAACTTTATCCCGATTTTATCACAAGACGACAATTCGGCATTATTGTTACATCCAGGAGGGATCGTGCCGTCACACGGTTCACACCGGTTATTCGCATTTCTAACATCGCTATTCCACACATTTCCGGTCACACATTCACGGCACACTACGCGGCGCACTTTCTAATGCACGAGACACCGGCACGTCGGGCACGACGTTAAAATGTTTGCCGCGTCCAACACCTTTCTCCGAAGATATCCCTTCGACAATACCGACACCTATATCGCGGAACCAGGCGCCTAATCTTGAAGTCGCCAAGTTTCAATCTACGTATATCTCGTAGCGGCATGTGGATGAGCACCACTCGATCCTGGTGCGGCTAACGTGACTGACGCCGGTATCCGTTCGGTAACGGAAATACGGTGGCACCGACGGTACATCCATTGCGCAAAGCTGTCGGGAGTCCGTCGTTGACGCGCGAAGCTGGCTTCTTCCCTCCCCGGTGGCCGCCGATCTCCCGTGTCTCCCGCGAGACGATGCCGTATTATTAGCAGGTGACGACGATCGCGACGTCATGGGACTCGGAATTCCAGTTCTACGTGCGACACACGCGCGGAGGATTCGTGAGCCGCTCTCGATGGCGTGCGTAGCCCCGACTACGTGTCGCTCTGCATGCCGACCCGCGGAAACCGGTTAACGAGTACCGCGCCGCTTCTCGCTTCTTACTTGTCGTCTGTCAACCGCAGCGTCGCTATACATCCTTCTACATTTTCCGATGGACTCGCTGCGGGGACGGCCCCGTTTCCGACGTCGCGACCGTACACATTCGCGCGCGCAATTCCTTCCCCGTTTCGTGCTTCGGAGTTTGAAATCGCTGTACCGAGGGATTGAACAATCGTTAGAAAGTCTCCAGATGGAATTCCGAGTCTTCTGCTAATCCTCGGCTCGACGCGCTTATTCTTTCCCTCTTTTCTTTAGAACTTGTCTTAATGATTTTTATAGAAATAAGAACGATGAAAATAAATACACTACGTATCAATACGTAATTTTTTTATTACAACGCCGCGCCGTCCCAATGTCACAGTCTCTCGGTATTTCGCTTGGTTCAGTAAGTCGAGCCGGTATCGCCGCGGGAGTGGAAACTCACGCAGACGGCAGGCGGCGAGCCATCCGTTAGGTTGGACCGTTCAAAGAGGCGCGAGACCCGGTTCGCGCGGCGTCCTTTCTGCTGTCAACCCGGGTGAGATGCCACCGGGTGAACCTCCGGCCGGCGGTATCTTGTATACCGTTCCCTTCTCCGTTCTTTTCGTCGCACGTTCCTGGGTGCGGAGCCCCGTCGCCGCTGCCTCTCTCGCGCGGTGGGAGCTCGCAAAGCCGCAAAGTGTGGATACCACCGTGCTTAACCGGCCCGACGATGGCAATACCTCCCGGTACGTATAGAGAAAGACTGAAGTCCACGAGGAACACGAAGCGAGAGCACCAGCGCTCCGGCCGGCCCACACGGCTCCATCCCCACCGCGGTCTGCGAGGAGCCGAGCCGAGCGGTGCGACCGACCGACCGACCGCTTTCTTGCTTCAACCGCGGCATTGAACACGTTCAACGGCAGCTGTTGAATACCACGTGTCCCCGTTCTCCCTCTCACCCTCGCTGTCCCTCGTTCTCTCTCTCTTTCTCTTACTCTCTCACTCTTTCTCTCTCGGTCTGTCGGTCAGTCCTTCCTGCTCTGCCCGTCGCTCTCTCTCCTTCCCTCTCACGATCTTTTCCACGGTTTCTTATTCTTTTTACCCTGCCACGACCGAGAACGCCACTCGACAGAGAGCCAGCACGGAGCGCATGAGTTTGCGATTCGCGTTCTTTGACCTGCCGTCAGCGCGCGACGCGCCGCTCGATCGCGGACTTCGGCTCCGTCTCGGGGCTCGCGCCGTGTCCGGTGATGTGAAGTACTTAAAGGGGTAAATATCTCTTTTTTTACACCCAAATTATACATTTCGGAATATCCTGCCCGTAGACTGCACTTCTTGCAACGAGCCTCCCCTCCTATACCTAGAATGTTCGCATACCTTCCTTGGAATGTCTGTACCTGCCGCAGGTACCTGCATTTACTTAACATTTTTAAGGCGCTCTTCAAGGTGTGAGGAACGAATCGCGGAATCTCGAATTAGTCAGAATTTTCACAAGATCGTAACGGAACGTCGGGGTCGGAAATACCCGCCAATTGTGCAGTAAGTTTGTGCGCGTGTGTCGAATCTAGTCCTTTTGGTTCAATAAAGAAAATAAAAAGGATTCATACACACGAACGTTCGCTCTTGTTATTTTCCTTCGGAAAGATCATTTCGAACTTCTATATCCCTTCCGATGTGGATCACACGTTGACAAATCACCTGACAGCGTGGAAATTGCTTGGAAAACTGAAAATGCGATGTCAACCGCTTCGTTGAGCGCAGAGACCTTCGAATATTCGAGGTTTTTCATTTTCTGCCTATTCTCGCAATCTCTTCGGCCATGCTATCGGGGTAAGCTCACTTGATCCGAGACCTTCAAGAACGATGACGTTCTTAATTCAGCGGAAGGTATTTAAAGTTTAATCCGAAGAGTGCGCGCCATTAGGGTTGACTAAATGTCAAGGCAATGGCAGAGAGTGCAAAGTTCCGAGTGCAAAGTCTACTATTCTCAACTCGCTAAAGCTCCGCCAACTTACGGGCTCCATCCTTTCCTGATATCGTCGACGGACCTCGATGCCTCGGGCGATGTTATCTTCCAGACAACAGGAAGAGGCTTTTAGATCCTGGGATTCGGTAGTCGTCGGTGTATCGACGTCCGAGACGATATTTCCACGTGTATTCGCTGGTCTCAGCGCCGAGGCACGTTCCACCCTCGAATGCTTTACGCCCGGTTGTTATGACTTTCGATAAACGCGCGATATTGGTGATACGTATCACGGTAACGGCAGAGCTTCGTAATCGTATTGATAAGTTAAAGCTAAGGCGAAATACATTGCTCGCGAATTCGCAAGCAAGTGGATTGAGATTAGAATATTGCATTACAAATATTATTAATTATTATATTGCGATATAAATTCATCACTTTACGAGATTTAGTGACGACGAGTAGCGTAAACTCGTTCATTCCAGAAAGAATTCTCGATTTACGATTAAGACAAGATTCTGGTCTTGTAATTTCAATTTAAATTTCATCGTTAAGCGTGCGGCTTGGCTCTAAATGTTGGCGGAGTTGACGAGAGAGTAAAAGGGAGCGATCCATCAGCTTTAAACGACGAGACAGTTTCCAGTTTCTACTTGAGACGCACGCGGTTGTCCACTCGCGAGAGTCGACCTGTCACGTACAGTATCTTGGACGGAAATCCCGGTTTAGTTTCGACGATTTATTTTAACTCGAGCATTTAAGACACTTATATTTATATTAATTCGATTATTTAAGATAATTGTAATTCGAACGCCAATAAAATATTTTAACAATATTTCAAACGCTGTATATTTCTATTCATTTTATATGCATTTGCATTAACATATATTATAGTTTTTTGTCAACTAGATATTTTTGTAACTGCTCTGTAATCATTTATTAGCAATTAAAATTCTACTTTTCTCTACGGATTTACTACTTTTCTTTATGGATCTACTTTTCGTAGAAGTTTTAATATGACCTAATTAACGCGTCTCTTAGGTATTCTAATTTTCTTCAGAGTCGCATTCTACGTGAAAGAAGGAAGTATTAAAGAGAAAGTCACATATTTTACTGACCTGTTCTGCAGACTCGGTGATAAAAGAATGACAGTACTGCAGGCTGAAGTGGGCCCTGGGCTCTCGCGCCAGAAAGCTGAATTGGGTATGCTGCGGCTCACAAGTCGCGTAAGAGATGCGTCTTAACGCGTGCGCCATTTGCACGCACTGCAACAGAAATAAAGAAAAAACCAAGAGGTTCTTGAGAACCACTCGTAAGAACGTTTTGATGTACGGACAACTACAACGATAGTAAATATAACTTAAGAAGGAGAATGCTGCACTTAAATACATTGAAATGACTTGAAAATATCAATTTTTTTATTTAAAAAAAGTATATTATTTCCTGCATAGAGCATTTAAAAATAAAGATAGATAGATTGGCCCAAAAATTTTGTAAGCTCTTTATTCGTTGTTAATAATTACTTAATAAAATCTAGTTTTAATAAAACTTGATAAAACACACTTAATTAGTCAAACTTATTCAATAACTAGTTAATGAAACGTACTTAGTTAATAAAATTACGGTATTTTGATATATGAGTTCATCATTTTGAAGCGCGTTCGGCGTAATGAAAAATAATATAAATTGTCTCTGACTGACAATTTCCGAGATATTTTCGAGAGTGAGCCCCGCGTTGAATGCAAACAAAAATGATTTACGAGCGTTTTATCATTGCTCTCATCCTGTTGAGTGATTTAATCGTTTAAATCAATTCCGTTGTGAAACGTTGTGTATGTGTTAAAACCCGTGCAAGAAACTAGCGTCCTCATTAAACAGGATATCATCATAAATATCACTTACTACATATAGCTCGTTAGCAACTGTAGCAAATATCGCGTGAGCCTAAATTGAGGGGTGTAGGATGAGATAATTAAAATGGTACGGATAGGACAGGACTGTAACACCGGTAGAAAAATTATTTGGCACAAAATTATGTCTATTAAGATATTAACCACTTTAGAGCGCAATTAAATAAAATATATATGTATGAATTTTTAGTGCTTTTTCTTTTTAATATTATATTTATCCTATATTAATGCTTTTTCTGATTACAGTAATTTAAATTCCAATAAATTTTATTGTGAAAAAAAACAATAATTGCAACTACAATACAGAAATCTATATCTTTTTTTGGAAAAAAGAAGAGTTTTTACACGCATCGAAGCTCCACAATTGAATATCAGTGCCATTGTTAGATGATGATTCGATGAGAATTAAAAGAAAGAAATAAAGTCCAATTATTGGCCACTCGAAAAACTTGCGAGGTTTTTGGCTAAATTTACGTTCCGAAACTTTTAATGATTTATTAAGGCTTGGTTCACGAGATGCTTATAAGTTTCAACGCAAATTTGGTCGTTCGGTCTAAATCTACTTCGATCATAATTTCAGAGATACTTTTTCCAGGCTCTACAGTAGAAACCTTAAAAGAACTCTTGTTTTTCAGAATATTGTAAAGAAAATTTTCATCAAAATATTGGTCCTGATAATTTAAATATGTCGTTATATAATACATATAGATTTTCTTCGATGATGAGTTCTGCAGCTTATAAAGTAGGATGTATTCTCGTTCCACTTCGCCGAATTTAAACACTGTTCTGGGACGTAAATTTTTAATGTTGTCTATAAATTTGGCAGCCGGTACAAATAAAACTCGTCCAATGAGCGAAATCTTCGTCTTCGAAAGAGTTTTCTGCGAGGTTTCGCCAATTTTTCAGCCAAGAATTTTATATCCCCGCAACGCCACTTCGTGCACTCTCGATATTTTATTACCCGGTCCCGTAGAATTACATCGAGCATGTTTACAGTCTTCGCTCGCACGTTCTATTAATATTTATTCGTCCATTGTGTCGCGGCACCATGCTCTTTTGCATACTATATAGACGCAATACTGATTGTGGAGTTGCTTCAGCGCGTATATAAAAAGCTTTTTTCTGAGCAAGAGAGGCTACGCACTTCTGTGCTGCAACGGCAATTTTCTTTGTAATAGAGTTGTTTTTGCAATTTAAATGACAAACTCATTTGATTATTATATCAAGTGTTCCTCCCTCAACTCTCACATCCTCACTAAAATCCGGATCTTTAAAATTTTAAACTCATATTCTCAAAATAGCATTTTTGGCCTAAGCCATTATTGCAGTCCAATCCTGCAAAATCTTAAAGAAAAGCACGACCTCATCTTCAAACTTCCAAGACGAGATACTTGCTTAAATTCGTTCTCTTACCGAGGTAAGCATGGCAGGGCATGCGGACGAGTAGAATGGTGATTGAAAAGATGATCGTACTGTAGGAGCAAATTTTCCAGCAAGGATACTCCGCGATTCTATCAAGTTTCGTGCTGAATTTTTCATGGTGCCTGCATTTACTCCCAAGTAGCAAAGTTCTACGTGAGAAAGATATAAATGAACCGGCTCAGTAAAAAGCTGCTCCTACTTATGCCTCTTGA